GAGCAGCGACGGCGACTACTAGATGTACCGCCTCCAATGTCGCCACTGATGATGCCTTGTCTTCCCCCGTGTCTTCTTGATGGAAGCCTTGGACCACGATACGATTCTTCAGTCGAGCTAGTTCTCCGTCTGCTGCGTACTTCCGTTTGTATAGGTATCTTGACAGAAGTATATCACCGTCCGCCGGCCGTTTCACCCAATCGTATACGTCGAGTTCCGTGAGCGAACGATTTTCTTCGCGCATACTCTCCCTCCAGTGGTCAGCATCTGGTCCACGTGTTGCGTCGTCGTAGTTGGTCGGGTCGGGAGGCCTGTAACCTATTTCTCCAGGGTTGCCCGTCCCGACGTTTCCGAGTACACCCCCTGTCAGAAGAGCTTGTTCCACCTGCTGATAAGCATCCTCCTCCGAGGTCACCGTAAATAGATTCAACCTTTGCGGCGGTGCAGATGCCCTGGCGCTCCGTCGTGGTTCTGGAACAGATGGTGTCGACTCTGCAGTACTTTGGTCTTCTTCTTCATCGCTATCGTCGTTAGTTTCTTCTTCGTTAGATTCTGCCATACCCGGCTGGTAGGTTGTCGTGTTTGGCACAGGAAACGGATCGCGCCCTACTTTGGGTTTAACCACGTCGCGCATCTCCTTTTCACGGAAGGATACTTCGGCAGAGTTGGTGATTTTAGAAGGCTCCGCAGGATCCCACAGTCTGTACGACCTACCCTTGGTATTATAGCCTACCAGATACATCTTCTTGGCCCTGGCCGCAACCTTGTTGGGACGGAAACGTGCTTCCTCGTGTTTGAAGGCCATCGAACCCCATTCGTGAATGTGCAGCAGATTACCTCGCGGCTTACCCTCCCATACCTCGAGTGGGGATTTGCCGCCCAGGACTTCAGTTGGTGAGCGATTCTTGAGATAGATGGCGGTCTGGAATGCTTCAGCCCACAGCTCGCTGGGAAGGTGCGGTGCGCCCAGCATTAGTTTGCGAGTAGTTCCGATGATGGTGCCAAATCCACGTTCTGCGATGGAGTTCTGCTGTGGAGTGTATGGAGCGCTAGTTTTGACCGTAATTCCGAGGGACTTGCACAGCTCCAGGAATCTGCCCTGGAATTCTCCCGCACCATCGCAGTGCATCGTGCCGATGCTTTGCCCGATCGGGTCGGCTACCTCCTGGACAAAATTGTGGAGAGACTTTGCCGTTTCATCTTTTGTCGTGATTGGGAAGCCGAACCTCATGCGAGAAAACACGTCAGTGAACATCACGGTACTCTGGCAGCCCCCAAACGACTTGATGGGGTGCTTCCCCCACACGTCGGCGCACATAATCTCTAGCCGGGTTTCAGAGTGGGGTGATCAGATGGAGGGTGACTGCCCGTCTTGCTATCCCCGACCGCGCATACGCTGCAGTCACCTGACTCGATGTTGTGATGGAACTTTACTCCAGTGGTATCCATTTCCTCCAGCTGCTGCAGTGCACGCGGATTGCAGTGGCCCATCCTCCGGTGCCACAGGTGAGCGTCGACCTTGGTGCGATACACTTCTACATCGTCCATGTTGAGATCGTCAATGATGACGTTTATCACGTACATGCGAGGCACAGCGATTGATATCGGAAAGGCCTGGTCGCCGCGTCGGAGCGCCGGAGGGATAGACATTAAATCGCACTTAACCCCCTTTTCGGCCAACGCTCCAACCGACAGAATATTCGCTCCTAGTTTACGAACCAGGAGGGCGTCCAGTGCCACCGTCACAATGTTGCCTTGCTCACTACGAATTCCAAACTTCAGGTTGCCTTTCTTGGTAGCGCTAGATGTTCCGCACGACCCGATGATACGCACGGCGCAGTCCACTGGGTCGAACACACGCTTGGACATGCGGGATTCAGCGTCTACCATATGGCTCGACGCCGCTGTATCTATGTAGAGCGTCGTATTACCAACATCCTTCGACGNGATACGCACGGCGCAGTCCACTGGGTCGAACACACGCTTGGACATGCGGGATTCAGCGTCTACCATATGGCTCGACGCCGCTGTATCTATGTAGAGCGTCGTATCACCAACATCCTTCGACTCCTTGTCCACTTGAAACACGCTAGTGTACCTTACCAGCTCTGTCACTTTCTCGGCCGGAGAGTCAGGAGGGGTAGTGAGATCGAGGTCCGTCGCTGCCGCAGGCTCCGCGAATTCCTGCAGGTCGTCAGTGGCGCGCACATTCGGCAGCGTCGACCCGGGCACATCGTGCGTCTGCTCATCTCCAGCTGTGCACTCCCATACTTGCGGATCATATATTACGACTCCGTCCGGCAGCGCCGGTGCAGCCGCGTCTTGCTCCTGGTCACCAGCAGCAGCGCGGTCCCTCGGCAACGCCACAGCAGGGGCGTTCAGCTCCTGCTTGTCGTTATTGAAGACGATGGCGAGATCTTCAAGCTCATCGTTCGCCGCCTCCACCCGCGTGTACCAAGCCTGCGTGGTGGAGTCTTGCGTGTTGTGCACCTGTCCTGTGTTGTTGTCCTCCGCCTCGTGCCTCCGGCGGAGCGGGCATTCGTCCCACCCGTGCTCGGTGCTGTTACTGCAGTATCTGCGACGTCCTTGACGGTTGCGGCCGGTATCCTGAGCCCGATCACGACCTCCAGAGTTTCGGCTCCTGCGACCATTCCCGCGTCCGCCATGCGCATTTCCCGCGCTGTCTCCTCCGGAGGTTCCGTTGTTGTTGTTGTTGCCGTTCGACCCACTTCCACTGGTCGAACCGTCTGCAATTCGGCCGCCATTACCTCGGCGGCTGCGTCCACCACGACCGCCACGGCCGCCACGGCCGCCACGCCTGCGGAGACCACGTGCTCCTTCGTGCGCGACAGTGTTCAACGCACGGCCGTAGCTGTCTGAACCGTCACCATGGTCAGACATTTCTCCGCGAATTTGCATGGCATGATACGAAGTTGCACGGCGCGCTATCTCCTCGAATACGAGACCATCGCGTCCGAGGATGTTGCCTTTTCGCTCATCAGGACATTCTTGAACGAGCCATACTGTCCGTTGGGGAGGGCTCGTAGTAGGGCACCTGCTTTCCGTATTTCCACAACTGTATCTCCTAACTTGTTCAGTTCGAGGCAGATGCGGCGCAACTATTGAATCGCTCGGGCCGGGTCGTATTTGTCGGCTGCAGTGACCATCACGGAAGTAAGCTCCTCATGGAGCAGCNTTGTGGCGAGGGGTCCGTCCCCGGAGATCACTACACCCTATCAGATCCACTGGGATTGGCTACGAGCCGAGAGTGTATCTTTTATTCGCTAAAGGCTGACCATTGGACTACGTGCAGAGTCATCGATGACTGTGCACGTAGTCAAATGGTCAGCCTTTATCCAATAAAAGATACACTCTCGGCTCGTAGCCAATCCCAGTGGATCTGATAGGGTGTAGTGATCTCCGGGGACGGACCCCTCGCCACAAGATGCTGCTACTAGCCGATAATGGTGCCTTGAAAACGATCCACTGGGATTCGAACCCGTGCGAGAATCTTTTGTCTTGTCGCCAATTGTTAAACCATTTGTCTAGTCAGCGCTGACTAGACAAATGGTTTAACAATTGGCGACAAAAGATATACGCGCAGCTCGTTAGCACCCGGCTGGATCACATTTTTTGGGTTTTACGGCTTGAATCTCCGGGGACGGACCCCTCGCCAGGCGCTGACTGAGGAGAACATAATGGTGCTTGGGAAAGTGAGTAGCCGGGATTCGAACCCGTGCGTGAATCCTTTTGTCGCTAATTGACAAACCATTTGTCTAGGCAGCGGCTGACTAGACAAATGGTTTGTCAATTAGCGACAAAAGGATTCACGCACGGGTTCGAATCCCAGTGGATCGCTTTAAAGGCACCATTATCGGCTAATAGCAGCATCTTGTGGCGAGGGGTCCGTCCCCGGAGATCACTACACCCTATCAGATCCACTGGGATTGGCTACGAGCCGAGAGTGTATCTTTTATTGGATAAAGGCTGACCATTTGACTACGTGCACACTCATCGATGACTGTGCACGTAGTCAAATGGTCAGCCTTTCTTTATCGAATACCCGCTGAACGGCACATAACCCCTCTGGAGATGGTTCAATGATTGCGCCATGTTGACTCAACGTAGTTCCCCTACCGCGCGAGGCGCATGACCTGTTGGGCGTACTAGCGGGACCTCACCGCTGTTGTACGTTGTGGTTGGCGTATGTGACGCAAGAAGCTCGGGTAGAGAAACACAGAGTGATCATTATTTCACACATCGGCGTCCACGCTGTCTTCACCTGACGGTTACAGACTTGGATACACGCCTTCACCATACTGCACCAAATCCTGCAGTAGAATAGAGTCAGTTCTTGCACACAATTCTCCCAACACCGAACACCCTTCGCAGGATGCGGCGCACCCTTCATGCGACTCGCCGAATATCTCACGGCGCTTTGCGCTCGATGATGTGAGAGCCTGGTCCGGTGAGAACCCGGCGTG